ATGTACGTGTGCATGTATGCATGCATGTATGCATGTATGTGTGTGTGTATGTATGTATGTACGCACGTGCAGACAGACAGATAGCCTCATCCATAACCCAGGACATTTTTAAGCTTGAACTCCGAGCCTGCTCTGCATTGATTTAGGGCTTTGGCGGTTCAGGGGTTTCAGGGTTTAGAATTTGACTTTACATCCTATATACCTTATGCTTTACCAAGCGAGAGCCCGACAGTCACTGTCCGAATACAGTGACCGACAGTTTTATAAACTTTTCAGCCTTGCGTATGCCCCAAAAAAGATTAGGAACAATCACCTACCCGACGGATCCGCATAGCCCTGAGACTCCGTACCGAGTTTCGCGGCAGTTGGACCCGTTGCTATGTAACCCTCGACCATGATTAGCCCCGAAAGCGCTGGAAGGAGGAGGACACGTCCGCGCTCTTGCAGGGCCCAATACGTCGGCCAATACGTCGCTTTTTCTTCCACCGGCTGCGCCATTACGGAATCTCTCCTTTGCTGAAACCCATAAGGGTCCAGGTATCTCTTTCGGAGGGTCCGGAATCTCCTAGGGAGAGCCCTTGGGTCTCTTTGCGGTATGGGGCTGAGGGTAGCGGTCTTCAGTAGTCCCTGAGGGTCCATGTACCCAAATAGTATATATGCTTTGGCCAAAAGAATTTGAATAGTATAATAGGGACTCCTTTACTTGAGGACAAAGTATATAGTAAAAACTAGTTGGGCAGACGGACCCTTAGGGAGTAATCTTGGCTTCCTGCCAGTGGTAGCCAAGCGGGAGTTTCAGATATTCAGGAACCCCAGATCCCCAATCCCTGAACGGGGTTGCAGCTGTGCTCACAGGCATGATCTGAGTTTAGAGTTTGGATTAGGGATCAGAAGGTGTGAGTGTGTGACTTTAGCTTAGGTGTTGCTGGCCCTCGGCACTACTATGCGACGACGATGCCCGACCCCAGCGACAATACTGACACAATCGCGCCAGCATCGACGCCCGGCGACAACGAAGACACAGTCGCACCAGCATCGACGCCGGGCGACAATGAAGACACAATCGCTCCAGCATCGACGCCGGGCGACAACGAAGACACAATCGCACCAGCATCGACGCCGGGCGACAATGAAGACACAGTCGCACCAGCATCGGCGCCGGGCGACAACGAAGACACAATTGCACCAGCATCGACGCCGGGCGACAATGAAGACACAGTCGCACCAGCATCGACATCCGCACCAGCATCTACACCAGGCGACAATGAGGACACAATCGTACCAGACTTGCCGCCCGGTGACAACGAGGCTGGTGGCAGTGGGACAGTCTTCTTGAATCCTTAGGGTGTAATCCTGTCTCCTGGCAACAGCTTCATAAGCTAAACGGTGGATGATATAAATCCTGCATTACCCATAGCAAGGAATATACCATGATTCCCATAGTTTAGGGTCCTTAAGGTAATGGAGGATTTCTTATCATCAACAGTAGTTTAGGATGCAAGGCCTGGGAATTATGGAGCATCCTGTGGCACGGTTTAGGGTTTAGGGTTTAGGGTTTAGGGTTGGTTGGGAGCAACCTTCAGATTCAGAGTCTGCAAGATGGATCATGAACATAATCTAGGGGCCCAAATACTTACCAATACTATTTTTTT